TGTGAAAGAGGAAGTCAAATCAGCCACGGACTTAGCCAGTGCCTGGCACCTCTGGAACTCAGCAGATGTTCTTAGCACCAACACCATCATCACCAGCATCACTGGCCTGGGAGGAGGGGAGGGAGGGTTCCAGGCAGAGGAACTGCTTGTGCCAAGGCCCTGGACAGAAGCAAGCACAGTGCCACTGAGGACGGAAAGCAGAGCAGCAGGGCTGTGTGCAGAGAGCTCACAGCCACCTTTACGTTATCACAGCCACAGTGTGAGCCATCATTGCCTTCTCTTTATAAATGAGGAGACCTGGGCTCAGAGAGGTGAAATGACTTGTCAGAGGTCACACAGCAAAGAAACATCTGAGCCTGACCTCAAGCCCGGGTTTCTAAGACTCCAAAGCCAATGCTCCTAATCACTACAGTCCGCAGCCTTGGAATGGGCAGAACTCCAGGGATGGAGCTAGTTCCTGCTGTGAGAACACTTCAGTAGGAAAGACCGTCAAAGGGATGCAAGAGTCAGCTGGTTCCCAAGAGCACTTCCAATCCCCCCACTCACCCCTCCTCAGAGCCGGGAATTGAGGCCCGGAGAGGAAAGGGGACTTGCCACCAACTGGTGTCAGAGCCAGGCTCCTCGGCCGGCTGCGCCCTGCTGTCCTGTGCCCAGCATCTTAGCCTGGGCTCTCACCCCACCTCCTCACCACCTCCTTTCCCGGGCACGCACGTGCCCACAGACCGCCCCGCACACCGCAGGCCCCTTCAGAAGGTCCTCAGACAGGAGGAGAGGCCGCTCTCCTGTCTTCCAGAAGGAAGGAGGACCGGCGGGGGGGGGGGGGGGGGGGCTTCATCCAAGGTCCAAGGTCACAGAGAGGGTTGGGGCAGATGGAGGATAGGACCCAGAACGGACAGTGCAGGTGCCATTCAGATGCCCAAGTAGTGCCCGCTGAGCCCTGTGCGGGTCCCAGGCCCCACCCCCACTCGGGGCCCTGTCCTGATCTGGAGCCCCAGGTCCTTGGTTAGAACCTGACAGACGCTGTGCTTCCTCCTGCACAGCTGGTTGGGGTGGGGCCTCCCCTGCCCTCCTGGTGGCCCTGCCAGAGCCACAGGCCACAGGCCACCTTCCTCTGTCCCTGGGAATATGCTCCCCTGGGCCAGGGCCCATGTGGGGCTCACACACACCCATTATATCCCTGAAGCCACACGTGCATTCAGGGGGGGATTGTTCCCCTTTTGTGGCTGAGAGCCTGCAGCGGGGCCCCTGTCCCACAGCGCGGCTGAGAACTGGGCTGCACTCAGGGCATCCCTGCACCCCCAAGCCCTGTGCTCAGCCAGGACCCCACGTCTCTCCCGTCTGCGGGATGCATAGGCCGTCGGAGAAAGACGGGCTGGGGGTCCTGGAAGTGGGGGTCCCCATCCCAGGGGCTCAGCTGAGCCGTTTGCCCACCTCCTCTGGACCCCAGTGCTCTCCTTGAAGAAGGAAAGCAACCCTCAGACCCCCCTCCAGGGCCGCGGGGAGCCTGGTGGAGACCAGGGTGGGCTCGGGTGTCCCGCCCACTCTGTTCTCTCTGCAGCCTGGCCCTCTGTCCCCAGTGCCGGCTGCACCCCTGTTCCTCAGGCCCCCGCGGCCTCCTCCCACTAAAGAAGGGGTGCTGCTGTGCCAGGGGCCCAGGGCACCCCCTTTCCTCCTCCTGGCCCAGCAGGAAGAGGACGAGCACAGCAGATGTTCCACAGATGGTGCCCGCTGTCAGCAGAGCGATGGCATACACGTGGCTTCTCTGGGCCCCCGTGAGGAGGGACCCAGAGCTCTGGGGAGAAGCAGGGGTGCGGGCAGGGTCATCAGGGGCCTGAGGTCTGGGGGCACTGCGGGGTGAGTTACAGCGGCTTTCTGGGGCAGGATGTCAGCTGGAGGGTTCCAGGAAGGGACAGCCGGCAAAGTGACCAGGGGTGGAAGGTGGGGAGGGGGGCTCAGCGGAGCTGGTGACGGGAGCGAGGCCAGAGAGTCCAGTGGGTCTGAGGCGGTGGCTGGGGCAGGAGACCGGCAGGGGCTCTCAGACTGCCCCAGAAGCCCACCTTCAGGAGGGAGGACTGGAGACCCCCCAAGGCTCCCGGGCCCTCCTGACAGACTGGGGATACTGAGCTCCGTGTCCAGCAGAAAGCCGGGAGCTTGGACTAGACGGTCTCTGCCAGGCTGCAGGGTCTAGGGGCCGCTGCCCAGGCCAGGAGAGCACAGTCCTCCTGGGAAAGGCCAAAGCAGAAGGGCTTTGACTCACTCGCAAGGAGTCGGCCACAGTTGGCACAGGCGACGCCGAAGACCCTCCCGTGGCATCTGGCTGAGTGGCACTGCCATGCCCCTTCCCTCCCCACCCTCCAGCTGAGCCCGGCTGCTCCCCACTGGGCCGAGGCTGGGCAGCAGGGCGGGGACAGGCTGTCTCTGGCTCAGTCCCCGGAACAGGCAGGCTCTACCCTCCCGAAGCACGTGGGCCTGGGCTCTGAGACCAAGGCCCCGTCCACAGGGGTGGGTGAGAGCCTGGGGTGGACAAGACGGGAATGAGCTTTGCCACCTGCCCCTGACCCCAAGCAAGGTTCCACCAAGAGCAGCTCATGTCGAAGGAGCAAACACCTGAGCCAGGCACTGAGCTACACGCCGCAGGTGCGGCCTCACCTGGCCATTGCGCCTCTGGGCTGGGCGCCAGCCGCACAAGGTACGGATGAGGAATCTTCGACAGCAGCAGAGCCTGGGACTGGCTGAGAGCCCGCTCCCCGGAACTGGGCCTTCCCACCTCCGCTCTGAGCTGCGTCTTCCAGTCTGAGCCACAGGGTGGGACCTGCACCAGGGCTTCCCAATGCTGAGATCCCGCAGGGACCTGCCCAGGATCACAGGTTCCTTTCTCACAGGTGAAGAGAAATAGGGACCAGTCCAAACACTGTTCAGGTGACAGACGGGAGCCTAACAGGACAGGGGATGTGTCCAAGATCCCCCCGGGAGTCCAGGTGGGTCCAGGTCAGGACACAGGTGCCATCCTCCTCTGGTCTCCAGCAGCTTGCTCCCCTGGGCCAAAGCTGCCCGTGGCCAGAGGCAGCAGGGTGTGAGTAATGGAAACCAGGCTGTGGGGCCTTCCGAAATGGGAATTCCATCTGCCTGACTGTTCTCCTGAACTTTGGTTTCCAAGGCAACTTGGAAGATGGAGAGCCTGGCCCAAGGCTGAATCCTTAGAACCCAAAGAAAGGGGAAGGCGAGTCTGTGGACCCAGCTGCTTCTCCAAGCAGAGATGTCATAAAGAGTCCAGGTTCTGACTCCCGGGCTCTGACCCCGCTCTGCCTCTCACCATTTTGGGGGGACAGTGAGTGATATGACAGTCCTCCCTGGGCCTCAATTGCCAGGTCCCTGGACTCAGGCCTGAGGCACCCTTGCTGGGAATCAGGAGTACGGCTCTGCTCCCTGCCTCTCAGCCTCACCGAGGCCAGAGGCTCTGTGGTGGGAAAGCCCTTCCTGGTTTAAAAACAAGCAGCTCTCTGGCTGCAGCGCTGGGCCCTGGCCCTGGAGGAAGAAGACAGCCCCTTCCTGGGGAAGCAAGAAAGGCTGCCTTCGGGTATAAAACTCCTACTGTGTGCCTGCCCCCCAGAATAGGTCCACTCCACAGATGGGCTCACGGATCCTCATCTCAGCACTGAGAAGTAACAGCACCTTCCCTGTTCTGCAGGCTCCAGGGGCACAGGGACTTGCCAAGGTGACAGAGCAAGTCTAACCCAGGACTGCCTCATCCCAAAGCCCCAGCAGCCTCTGGAGACAGGTGAGCTGCCCATGACTAATACTGCCTGGGAGCACAGAGGAAGGGCCACCTCCTGACCCAGCTATGGCTGGCTCTCAGGAGGTCCCTCCAACACAGGCTCCAGGGAGGGCCAGCTGCAGTGAGGGCAGGAGAAGTCAGGAACAAGGAGAAAAGCCAGACTCACCTCCCTCTTGAGTGAAGCCCCAGGATCTGCAGTAGGAACAAGACCAAGGACCCTCTCCGCACCCAGGCCCAAGCCCCCTAATCCCATAGAGGACTCAGCCCCTAAGCTCCCCAGTTCAGGGGAGCAGACAAGGGGAGGCCAGGAGGAGAGTCTGACAGCCCCAGGGCCTCTGCATCTCCAGGTCCCCTGCGAGCAGGCCTGAGCGCAGAATCCCAGGCAGAGAACAAGGTTCAAGGAGATGGGCAGCCTCTGCTGCAGCAACCCCTGCAAGCTCCACCTAACCAGCCCAAAGGAGCCAGGCCATGCCCTCGCCCCTGCCCCAGCCCTGGGAGGCTGCACGGGTGGACACCAGGGCTGACTGGGCACCAGCTTGGCCTGAGTCTGGGCCCTCCTCTGCCCACTTCAAGGCAGTGGTCCAGTCCTGCCCTGGAGTATGGGCCAGATGGTGCCTAAATTTGTATCTCCTTTAGGCAGGAGGGTCAGCCTTGTCCAGGGCCACAGAGAAACTCGGTCCTCCTATCTCCTGCACCTCCCCAGCTCTTTCCTCTATCCAGGAAGCCTCCAGCAACTACCACCCTGTGTGGCCCTGACCACCTCTACTGGCCATCCCTATCCGCCGGAAGGTTCCTTTAGAACCTCAGGGTTTGGCCAGAGAAGTGAAGAAACTTGCTGAAGGTACATGGCCTCCTAGTGACCAAGCGAGGATGCCATCCTGCAATAGGACAGCCCAGAAACCCAGAGCCCGGGCTCCATGCCAGCCGGGCCCAGGCTGAATCCCCTCCTGCCTGTGTGACCTTGGCCAAGTCACCTGTCCTGTGCTTCATGCTCATCTGTAAAATGGGGAGAGGGTGAAAATAACAATGGGAAGAGCATGGCCAGCACCCAGCACAGGGGGGCAGGTGGGGAGCAGCTCCCTGGACACTGGTATAGATAGATGGCCCTGGGGTGAGGAGCAGGTGATGGCAAGCGAGGGCAAGCGGCTGATGGTCCTGACACCACCCCCCAGCCCCAGGCGCTCTGCGAAGGTTGGAGACCAGGAACGCACAGAGAGGGCCGAGAGCGAGAAATAACACAGGCCTTTTATTTGCTCCGGAACTTGGCTGCTGTGTGGTCTGAGGGTGCCATCCTTTCCCGGAGCCCCCTAGGACACGCCACCTAGGGGGTGCCAGATATCCCCTCTGGGCCTCGTCAGTCCAGGAGGCCCAGGTGCCCGGGACCAGTAAATGCCCTGAAACTGGACACTGGTGTCCACCTTCTCTGCAGGTGGCTTCTCACAAGGCATCGGTTAAAATATTGCACTTGTAGATCAGGAAAACTGACGAGGCAAGGGTTTCCTATTACGGGATGACGTGCCAAGCATCCAACTACTGTTTAAATAAATAAAACTCAAAGTGGGGGTCTGAGCTGTAAGGCCCAGCAGCCCCCAGGAGAGCCCTAGGGCCCAGGCCTGGGCCTCCTGCCCCATCAGCCAGTTCTGTAAGGAACTTGGTCAGCACAAAATCTCCGCGTCTCCAAAGCAGGGAGCAGCAGCTCCAAATCTGGCGCAGCCGGGGCCCCCGACCTGCCAGGGCCCTTGGGCCCCCTCGTACCGGGGCATTGGGGACCCAATAGGCTGGTCCTTCTCCTCCTCCAGTGCCCTGGGCCTCTCTAGGTCCAGGTCTCGAATCCAAATGTCCATCTGTCTGTCCGGAGATGCAGCCTCTGGGGGCTTGCTTGCCCCTTCCGTCGCAGGGGGGTGGGAGGCAGGTGGGCAGGGGCCCAGCCCGCTTGGTGTGAACGCTGAGTTCTCCCCCAGTGGCCCCTAGAGCGGGGGACTCATCTTCTTCTGGTTAATGAGGTCCAGGTAGAGGTCAGAGCGGAGAAAGCGAGGATACGAGTCCTTTTCCATGAGCCCGAAGATGCGCTTCTGTGCCAGGTCGAAGCAGCCCCGTGTGACGCTCTGCAGGTTGTCCTTCGTGTGCTCCCGGGTGTACGAGTCCAGGTTGACCTACGGAAGCCCAGGGTGACACGGTCAGGGCTGCCTGGGAAGGACTGAGCCAGGTGCTGGAAAATCTGGAGGCCAGGTCAGCCTCTGACCTCCAGGCTCCTCTGTGCCACATGGGGAGAGTTGCCCAAAGTGGAGGCCCTCAGGCCAGGGGACCAAAGTCCTGGCAGAGTCACTGACTGCCAGGGTGAAAACACTAGGGTCAGGATGCCCGGGTTCAAAGCCCAGCAGTGCCACACCTGGGTGACCTGAAGCAAGCCACTCGGGGGCACCTCAATTTCCCTGTTGATGGGCTCGTGATGACAGTGCATGCCTCAAAGAATTGTGGGAATCAAGGCGGCACACCCCCCCAGAGCAGCTTGCACATAGTAGGTGCTCAACAGATGTTAGCTACTTCGATCAGGCTCTCTGAGACCATCTCTTTGTTCAAAACAAAGATAATATTCAAACCTATTCAGACTTTTGTGAGGATTAAACATGAGAGTGCGAACGTGAAGGGCTCAGCGTGTGCCTGGTACGATCGTGGCAGTGCTAGGTAAGGCCCTTTTTTAAAAAAAAAAAAAGAATTTTTTTTTTTTTGTGATGGACCTTTATTTTATTTATTTGTTTATATGCGGTGCTGAGGCTCCAACCCAGCGCTTCGCACGTGCTACATGAGCGCTCTACCGCTGAGCCGCAACCCCAGCTCCGGTAGGGCCATTTTTAATTATGAACCAGGATTCTGCTTTTCCCCTGGCTCCAACCTGGATCACGGCCCCAAAGAGTCTCTCTGGTCTCTCTCCTTCCTGGGCCGCTGGCTACTTTCTTGCAACCGAAGGGTCACTGGGCCGTGGGGACTGGGGACCTGGGGCCAGCCCGCGTCCTACCTCCTTGCACGCCTGGATAGCAATGAATTCAGCAAAGATCTTCTTGGCTTTGGCCGTCATCTTGGACTGTGACTTGACCTTCTTGAAGTCCTCACAAGCCAGCCAGAACTCCAGGTTTTCCTCGCTGAACTCGGTGCGAAGAAAGGCCTGGAACACTATTAACCCATCTGCGAGGAAAAGAGCCAGGGTGAGAGGGACAGCCAACCTGCCTGCCCTTGGCAGCCCGGCCTCGCCCTCCTGGGGCCTCATGGGTAGACGTGCTGGGAGATCAGGAAGATTCCCCATCCCTGAGATCCAGGGCATGAGGATGGGACCTGGTCCTAGCCCTGCCATTACCATGGCTGAGGTCTGAGGGGCCTTGGCCAGTCCCGCCCCTACGGATGCCTCAGTATCCTCATCTATAAAACAGGGCCATCCACCCTGGGTCGGGAGCCCCGTGGGGATCAGATGGGATCCTGCCCCGAGATGGCAGGCACATTTGGCCCAGTGTGAGCCTGCGGTCCATGGAAATGTTTATTGTTGTTCTGAGAATACCGGTCTGAGCACAAAGGTCCCAACGGCCTCCAGGAGGCAGGGCCAGCTCCCAGGGGCAGGGAGGGGCTGGCAGGAGCCAGCTTCAAGTCCAAACCCAGGGTCTTTCTTGGGCCCAGCCTCTCCCCCATGGCCAGGACACCTTGCTGGGCCCAGGCAAGAGGGAAGACAGCCTCGCCAGGACCCTCTCTGGGCCCAGATGAGGGGAAAAGAAGAGAGGGAAAGAGAGGAGGTTGCGGGGAGGCAGAGCACCTGGCGCACTCACATTTGTGAAGCAGCAGCTTCTCCAGGGATTCACTCCACTTGAGGGCTTCCTCCGAGGTGGGCCTGAGGGGCGAGGGAAGGAGCACCGTGAGGCTGGGAGCCGCGGGGGAAGCTGGGGCTGGTCAGCCTTGGTTAGCTACCCTGGGCCCAGGCTACAGCTGAGCCAGGAGGGAGGCCCACTGCAGCCCCTGCCCGGCCCTGCCTGGATGTCCCCCTCTGGCCAGCTGATCCCCGCGAGGGCTGCTGCTTGCTGGGTACCAGGATCCCTCTGTAAGAGCCTCCATCTCCCCTGAGCCGATCACACTGACAAACCCCTGCTCCTAACCCCACCCCCCAGCCCTGCTCCCTAGAACCAGCAAGCGCCCGAGGGTCCCAGGATGCTGCCAAGGACCTACCTGAATGACTTCATCATCTTGTCTGTCTTGCCCGCTGGCTGGGCCCCTGGCGATTCATTTCGCCGCCTGAAGATGGCCAGCTTGTTCTTCACGTCCTTGGCTCTGGGGGCAGAAGCAGAGGAGGGAGCTGGTCAGCCTGGCACCCAGGACCCCTGCAAGTTCAGGGTGGGGAGGAGGGGTCTGGGGCCGGGGACACCTACTCTTTCATGGTGTGCCGTCTCTGAAGGTTCCCATTGCGCGTGAGGTACATGCCCCGGAGCATCTCTGTAGGGCCCCCCACCTTGAGGACCCCCGTGATGGTCTGCAGGGAGCACTCTTGGGCTCCCACCTTCCACCCAGTATCCCGGGCTGCTGGCAGCAACGGTGCAGACCGCAGCGCAGCGCTCGCCGGGATCCTGGCCGGATGACTGGACTCCAGGCTCAGCAGAGCCAGGGCTGGGGCTCAGACAGGAGGAGCCAGGAAATGGGAGGGACCAGGAGGGGGAGTGGAAAAAATAGCCCTCCTGACCAACCCTGAGAGAGCGCCCCTGAAAGGGGCATGTGTCTGCAAGGGACAGCCTCTGGTGCCCGCCCCCAGGCAGGAAGCCAGACCCAGTTATTTGTGACCAGCCTTCCTGTTACCATGGCAACAGGGAGACAGTGGTGGGGGGGCCAAGTCAGCAAATTGCTGAGAGGGAAGGAAGGAGGGAAGAAGGGAGGGAGGAGGTTCTGCCCACCAGGATGGCAGGACCAGCTATTTTTAGCTAAGAACCATGTTTAGCCAAGCCGGGGCTCCGGGAGGCAAATTTCAGCGCTGGGTGATTCTGCTGTCAAGAAAGGGGTTAAAAGCCTCGGGCTCTAGTTCACTCCCCTGGCCCCTAGTCCCCTGCCCTGGGCACCTCCAGCCCTGCCAGCCTGCATGGGTCCGCCCATCTGTGAAGACACCAGAGGCCCCCAAAGTCTTGGAAGTTTAAAGCTTGAATAACATCAGATGTATAGACCCTAAAAACTTGCAAAAAAAAAAAAAAGTTATCTGAAAGTTCAATTATTTAATTCATTACACATTAGTTTTGTGATTTTTAAAATTTTTTTTGTCTGTTTTTAGTTGCTGATAGACCTTTATTTATTTATTTATATGCGGTGCTGAGAATCGAACCCAGTGCCTCACACATGCCGGGCAACTGCGCTACTGCTGAGCCACAGCCCCAGCCCCTGTGATTTTTTTTTTTAATAATAAAATTTTCATTCTGATTTTTGGTCTCCATCCGACCAAACGTGTGAAATGTTGAAAATTTTATTATCAAAATCATGAAGCGAAATAAGTGTAAAAAAAATTAAATAATTGAACTTTCAAGTGTGTTTCTAGCATTTCTACTTCTGAAGTGACTAAAGCTTCCGACAGCTTTGGTAACTGTGTAATTCAGGGAAGTGGCACCCTGCCAGTGAGGTCAAGGGTCCCGGCCCTGGGGCCCAGCAGCCCCAGCAGGGAGCATCCTTTGTCCAGTCCCCCAAGCCCTCTCTGAAGGTCAAGATTCCCTCTGTCCAGCAGGGAGTATCCCGGCTTGGGGCTGTTGCAGGACCCAAGGAGAAAGTGCACTCTTGAAACATGCTTGGGACACTGAGGCCCACACCTGTCCTGGGTGTCTAGGACAACTGTCTAAGGTCAGGGTCCCTGTTCTAGCAGGTTCCAAGCCAACGAGATAAGGCCCAGGAGTCCCGGGGTCTCAGCCCTCTGGGTGAGAATGGGAGCCCTCAAGGAGCCCTGCAGGGACAGTACTCTGTGCTGGGAGCCTGGGCCCCAGCCCCCAAGGCCAGGTGAGAAGCAGAAGCCCAGGAGGGGAGGGCCCAGGGCTCCAGGGTGCTGGCTGCCTCCACCCCACTGGGCTCCTGTCTGCGCAGAGCCCACTAGGTTCCTCTGTGGCGGAAGGAAGCCAGGGCTCCTTTCCAGCCACGTCCTTCCTCCCAGACACGCGGAGCCAACAGGCCAGGTCTCAGATCCCAGCTCCACCCAGCTCTACTAGTAGTAGAGTAACTTGGATGAGTTACAAGCATAACCCCAAGTGGTTGGATAAGTAACTAACCTCTCTGTGCATCAGCTTACTCATTATAAAATAGGGAGAGAGTAAACAGAAAATGTCGAATGAAAATAACAGTAACAATTCACTTCCATCAGACAAAAGTAACAATCTCCTTCCATCCTATGTGACATAGAACAATGCCTGACCCCATGAACCCAGGCCTGTTATTACCCTGGATGCTAAGTGCCCTCAATTAAACCTTGAGGAGGGTGAGTGTCAAGCATTCAAAAGGTGGTGCCCATTCTGAAAGGAGACTGGAGGCGGTGGGCCCAGGCAACTCCAGCACCCTGGACATGGGCCCCCCACCACTCCATTGCTCCCAACAGCACAGCAGCCCTGGAGCTACAGAGACCCTCCCTTCCAAAAAAAGCAGTTAAGTGAGGCTGGTTGGGGCAAAGGACTATTTTTGTTTGTGTTTGACCTTCCTGAGAAAGTACTCTTGTTCCTGGGTGCAGAATGAGGGAAGTCTAAGGTTCCTTCAGAAAAGGCTGGGGTCGGGGGGTGGGGGGTTAGAGGGCAGTGGACCCCAGCCAAGGTCAAGGCCAGGGAAGAGGGTCACTGGAGGTGTCTGGGGAAGACTCCAGTCCTCTTCCCCCAGGCCCAATTTCTGCATCATGGCTGGATACTACCAAACTTGGAAGCTCTCTCTGAGACTTGTGCTCCATGGCCTTCTCCCCTGCACCTCTCCCCAGTCTCCCTCAGGCCTTGGGGTAAAAGGAGGTCTAAGAACACACCTCCCCAAAACACACACACCCACAGAGCTGGAAAGACCTGGAGGAGCCCGGGATACTGTAGCTAGGCCAGCAGCGCCCCCTCCTGGTAATGCTTAAGATAGCACTAAAGAGCTCCAGAGAAGAAATGGGAATCCCCAGAATTGTCAGTTCCACCCTTTCTCAGGTCACTCCAGGGCCCAGAGGGAGCAAAGGTCTTGTCCACATCACTACTTGGCTCAGAGGCTGGGCGGCAGCCGGGCAACCTGGATAACTGCCTCTGGCTCGCTGTGGCTCCTAGGTACTGAATAGACACCCTGCCTCACTCTGAGTGGATTTTCAAGACCCTGGTGACCCTGCCCTGGGGCCACTGCCAATCCTCAAGATCCTATTGATCCTTGATATCTGTCTGGGGCTAGGGAGGGGATGGGCACAGCCCTTCTCCCCACCTGTACCCCTAGAGACAAGACAAACCCTTGGGCAGAGGAGGAAGAAGGGTGCAGGGAGCCTCCCCAGTCCCAAGAATGAAGACCGTGGATCTTCCCAACGTACAGGTTTTTGCTCTTTCTCTTCTGAGAAGCTTCGTCATCGTCCCCAACTCCATCAGGTCCACTCATCTGCAGAGAGAAGACAGATAGGATGCAGCCTGTGTGTCTAGAGGCTGCTGCCCAAGTCCAGACCCAACAGCTCCTGCAACCAGAGGGCCCTGCCCCAACGCTCACCCCTGGAAAAGCATTGGGTGCGGGAGGAAGGCCTCACTGCTGGAACATCCCAGCCACGGTACGAGAGGCTTGGTAAGAGCCTCCAGCCAGGGGTCCCCTCGAAGCACATGTAGGAACCCAGGTTGCCGGGGAGAAGCAGGAGTGACAGAGCCTGATTACGGGAGGCAGGGCAGCTCCCACTCAGAGACTTGCCAGTCACCGCCCCTTTCTGAGCATCTTCCTTTATTTCTCAAATCCAGATCATAATCGTTAACTCAGGATTGTGAAGTCCAAAGGAGACCTGGGGCGGGTCCGCAGTGTGTAAAATGAATCGCCACCCAGGCCCGAGCTTTCCAAGGCTCCCTAGGATCCTCGGGATAGTGTCCCAACTCCATGACAGGGTCTTCTATCTCAGGGTCTAGGGAGAAAATCCCTCCTTAACCTCAGTTCCAATCCCTGCGCCGTTGTCCTGCTCAGCAACCTCGACCCTGCCTCCAGCCAAACGAGTGTCACCTTGGTGACTCTCCTGCTTCCTTTCCTCCTGAGGTCCAGCTTCAGTTCAGGTCTCAGCCTAACAGCCAAAGGCCCCGTCCCCTGGAAAGCCCTCCCTGATCTGTAGGGCCAGGCGTGTCCCTTTCACCTCTTTTAAGGTCCCTGCTGCACCAAAAATGACTTGTGTCAAACCTGTCTGCTCTGCTTGGCTATGAATTTCCAAAAGCAAGCCTGGGTCTGCCCAAGTCACTTCCACGGGGCCTGGCACGTGTGAGGAGCTCAGTAAATCAAACCCAACAAATGAATCAATTGATCAGAGAGAGGAACCATGACTCTCGGAGTCCTCCTTGCTTGAGTTGGGCCTACAACTTTACACACACACACACAGCCATTCCATTGCAGGGTCCACCCCATCTACCCCACCCACCCCACCCACTCTACCCTATCACCTGCCTTTCGCCTGTGCTGTGCCCCCAGCCTCTCGCCCTCAGTCTCCTCTTCCCTTCAGACACTCCTCCTCTCCTCAGACCACCACAGACTCCCACCATCTACACTGGGCCGTCCTCTGTGTCCCTTGCCCTGCCTGGGCTTGGGCATCCTCCTCCAGGGGAGGCCCAGGGCCCCAACGCTGCTATTCTGCAGCAGGAGCCCATGCTACACTCGGCAGAACCAGACTCGGAGTACAGTGGGCGTTGAAGCTCTGCCCCAAGACAGGGCAGGAAACCACCAGGTGTGGACTCAGCCAGATTCCACAGGAGACCCACCCTGAGCCTCAGTTTCCTCATTTGTAGAATAAAGAAGATGGGCTAAGCTTTGAAATGCAGAGTTCTTAATTCTGGAAAGAAAGTGGCCTCATTCCAGATGCAGCCAGCAGGGGAAGATACTGGCCTCTATGGAACACCCACTAGAGGATGGACAGATAAATGGACAGACAGATGGATGGGTGAGTCATACCTTCGCTGACCGCAGCTTGCACTACAGGCCAGACCCTGGGATGAGCATGAGCTAGCTGCTATACCATTAACCCTCACAGCAAATCCCAAAAGTACACAGGCTCAGAGTCACCTGCTGGAGGAGGAGGAGGACATCCAGCATTCAGTGAGCTGGAATGGGAGCCTGTCAGGGTGCACGGCCTGGGTTTCTCCACTAGAGGGCGCTGCCAGTTGAGCCCAGGACAGGGCACATTTTGACCGTTTCCAGGGAAAGACTCAGGAAATGCCGCCTCCTTCCTGAGGCTGCTGCGGACCAGAGCCGCTGGCACGTGTGTGTACGTGCACAGAGAGGCCACGCCCTGTGGGGTGTGATTTTACGGCTTTGGGGCCAGGCTGGGCATAGCCCTGCTTCATGAACTTGGGAGCCTCAGCCTCTTAGCTCAGGTTTGTGAGTGACAGCAGAGCCAGGGTGACAGCCGCCCCATGGGAAGGGTGGAGGATCCACCAGGATGAAGCCTGGGCCCCGATGGCCTGGTCCTGGTACACACGGTGTCCTCAACAGCCCAGTTGCTGGGTGTGTCACTGCTGTCACCCCAGCACAATCACAGGCTGCAGGCAAACTGGCCTGGCTCAGCAGTGCCCAAAGCCCCCACCCGTGGGAAAGGGCCACGGCACTGGGCTTCCTCCCATTCTAACCTCGGCTTCCGTACTTTATCAGCCCCACACAATGGGCCTGGGGACCACTCCCGCCCCGGCCACCACCCCCAGCCTCTGCACTGCTGGGAAATGGGCTCTTCCTTCCAGTGCTGGGAGTGGGGGGTGTCTTCAGCAGGGTCCCGCGCAAGCCAAGCAGCCTGACGGAGGGCTGGGCAGTTCTGACCCTGGAAGCTGCCCCCGGGGAACCAACGAGGAAGAGCAGAAACTGCAAGGTGGGACCCAGTTCTGATTCCCAGCCTAGGGGCTCCCAGAGTCCACAGGGAGGCTGTGGCCTTAGCCTTGGAAGAGGCTAGAGTGGCCCCAACAGCTGCAGCAAGGTCCGCCCAGGGCCCAGCATGCAAAGGGCCTCTCCCCAGGGCTGCTCCTTCCATCGGCTCCTCACTCTCTCTTATGTGACCCTGCCCTGCTGACAGGTGAATGGAAGTGAGCCCAGAACCAGCAGCCCTCCCCACTCCCAGGCATCAATGCCTGCGGCCTGCCCGGCCTCACCGGCCACCTCCCAGGACGGGAAGCTCACCATCTCTTGGAATAATAATCAGAATCCTTACTGTCATTACAGGAGGGATTTAGGGTGTAGATTCTAGGCTCAGTCACATATGGGTTCATTGACTTAGCTCAGTTTCGACCCTCTCGCTGCCTCCGTTGCTTTACTGGTAAAACGAGGGTAACAACTGGGCCCGTCTTATGGGGCTGCCGTGAGGATTAAGTAAAGGACGTGCGAGACGCCCTCGGCGCAGCGCCAGCACAGGAAGGTGCTCCAGAGCCATTAACTCGCCTCAGATCTTTATTATTTACTGGGCCTCGCTGTGCGCTGGGCATCGTGTGACAGTGCTGTGACATGTTTTCTGATTTAATCCTTCAACAGTTCTAAGAGCCATTTGCTCTTGTTTCCCCCAGTCTACAGTTGGGGACCTGAAGCCAGGAAGAGCTTGGTGACTTGCCTGGGCTCTCAGCTGCCAAGGAGCAGAGGATTTTGAGTGTGACAAGGGCTCTTCTGGGAGGGCCCAGCTGGTTCCCCTCTTGGTCCTGGTCTGACTTCTGGGGCTACCTGATCGTTCACGACTGCCAAGCTGCACCCCGTGGGGCCGTGTGGAAACGGTGGATCTAAACTCTACATTTACTTGTTTGAATATAGGAAACAATTCTCTAGGCATTTTGAAAACAGGCATTTTGAAAGCGTTATCATGTTTTGGAGCTGGAAGGCATTTCAGGAGGCCTCTTGTCTGATCTCCAACCCAGACAGGAAGCTGAGGCAGTGGGGCTGGCACCTCTGCTGGGGCTGGTCCCCAGCCCAGGGGGAAGGAAGCATGGCCAGAGAGGGCCTGTGGCCTCCTCACTGTTGAAGAATGGCCTGTGACCCTGAGCTCAGCCAGGCCAGAATGGGGTGCAATTCAGTAACAGTGTCCTGGACCCTAAGACAGAATTCACCTAGGGGGCTCCTCTGGCTCCCCAGGAAAAGAATAGGTATGAACCCCTGGATCTGCTCGGCTGGGCCTCCAGAGTCGGGCAGCAGAGGGCGCTATGAGCCAGCTCAGCTTCATCCAGGGGGCAGATGAAGCCAGCTCACCAGCGAGGCAGCCACAGCCAAGCAGACCATTTCTGAGGCCTGTGGGATTCTGACACAGAAATGGCTCAGGACACCAGGGCAGGGTGGCAACAGAGGCTCTGGGAGGTCACAGCTCACCCACACAGCAGGATGCAGCACCAACCCAGGGCCATGCCAGCCCTGTCTGGCCCTGCTGGTCTCGCAGCATCACAAGATCACTGTGCCGATGGGCAGAGCCTGTCATGCGCCCGGCACAGAGCTCTCTGCACACTGATACCTCGAGTCCCTGGGGCCAATTCCAGAAGACTTAGCGCTTGCATTTTACAAGAGAAAACTAGAGCTCAGAGAAAGAATGAGCTTGGCCAAGGTAGCAGAGCCAGGCAGGAGGCGGGGCTCAGACTTGAAGCTGGCTCCATCTGGCTCCAAAGCCTGAAGACTTCGCCCCTCTCCTTTTTACCTCTTGATTGGCGCTGTCTGGGAACAGGAGCCTGTCACTGACTCTCCCAGGACAGCCAGGCCCAAGCCAGGAAGGCAGAAGTCCTGAGAGATGGTGCTCCCTCCACCCTCTGTCCATCCCCCACCCCAGCCTCTTATTAGCATGAGATCAGGGGGTCTGGGGTAGAGCCACAGAGGGCGGGACAGGGCAAGGCCACTGTCAAGTTCTGCCTTGACTGACTGTGTGGCCTGGGACAAACCAGCCTCATCCCCTCCCTGTAAAAGGAACACTGGTCCCACTGGTGGCACTTTGTGAACAGGGACATAGCTGTTCCTGCTCTGGCTCCTGCTGCCACACCTCCTCCCTCCTCCCCCTCCTCCAAAACTGTCAACATTAGGGCCATTTATGGAACACCCTCCCCCCCACCAGTGCCCATCACTGGCCTAAATACCTGCCTCAAGCTACTTCATCTTCTCAGAAACCCTAAGCAGGGGCGTCATCCCCATGCCCACCTGTCCAGTGAGGACACTGAGGCTGAGAGGGCAGGGGCTTGCAGAGGCCCGTTGCAGTGGACTACAGCTCTAGACCCCATGTGGCTCCGCCCAGGCTTCATTCCCTTGCCCAGGACGGTTCCTTATGAAGCCAGCCAGCCGGAGGCAGTACACGGGTGCCATGATGACAGTGCCAGGCCTGGTTAGGGGAGCCACACAGGAGGAGGCCACCACAGAACAGGGCGGCCTCTGAGGCCTCTTCCAGCTCAGTTGCTCAAGCCCAAAAAAGGAAGCGAAAGGCCAAAGGAGAGTGGGGGAGGGGAGGGTGCCAGTGGGAACCCTGAGCACCCAAAGGAGGAAGCTGAGACAGAAGGGAGCCCGTCCAGGATGTTGGACTCAAGGCAGAAGCACACTTGAGCAGGGTCAAGTGAGCCAGGGAACTCCATAGAAGCATTCGCAGGAGTGTGTGTGAATTTATCTGTGTATAAATATTTGTACTGGAGCAAGGGTGGGGGAGGGCATAGACGGGTCAGGGAAGGACCTGGTGGGGGTTAGGATTGGGAGGCCCCAGGCAGGTTTGGGCCCTTGGTCCTCAGCTGCTGTCCAGAGAGAAATGGCCAGGCCCTAGCTGTGTGAGCTTGAGGCCTTGCCTTGGCAGGACAGAGTCCTGGGCTCCCTTCTGCAGCAGCTGCCTCAACAGGTGGCCTAAGATGATGGCCCTTGAGCTCCAGAGAGCATGGAGCTCCTGGGGAGCTGGTTTAAAGTGCAGAGTCTGGGCACCACCGCTGGAAACTGTGATTCCAGAGGCCTGGGGCTGGGACTGGAAGGCATACGGGACCAACCTCCCCGACTCTGGCAATTCCAGAGCACACCAAACTTGGAGAACTGCACACGCTTGACAGATGAGGAAACTGAAACCCGGTCCCAATTCCCTTGAAGTTGAATCCCGGTTTCTGGGCCCAAAGTTCAAGGCCCTTTCTGCAGGACCCCAGTCCGACCATATTCCAGCAGAAGCCAAGTCTTCCTGACCACTAGTGGCTAAGAAGCTAAGAAGGTTTCCGAGGTCATGTCCCAACCGAGTGGTGACATGTGCTGGGATCCACTAGTGATGTCTGCCGTTTGGGGAAGGCCCTGTTTGGAAGGCTGACTTCAAAGGTGTGGGCCCTTTAGGAATCCCCTATTCCAGTCAAAGGACACCTGCTCATCCTCTCTCTATTCTAAACCTTCTTAACCTTCCAGGCCCAGCCTGCCCGGAAGGCACCAGGTTCTGGGGTGCACAAGAACTTCCAGGCCTCCGAGGGTCAGCTGCACTCCAAGGCCATCACCGCCCACCTGGCCTCAGCCATTGTCATAACAAGGTCCTGCACTGCCACTGCACTTCAAGAGAAAGAGCTCCAGGAGAGCCTTCAGACATATTGCTCACACTGTCAGACACCAGCCTCTTCTAATTCACCCTCACCTGCCTGGGAACACGTGTGCTGTCAACCCCCACTTTTCAGGGAAGGAAACCAAAGCTCAGAGGAGCTGGGTGACTCACCGAGGCCACACAGTCAGTAAGGGACAGAGCCCAGATTCCAGCGGGCTGGTGGGCTTCAAAGCCATGGCACAATCTGTTCCCCGTTAGGCCATGTTCCCCGCCCACACAACTCATACCTCCCAGGCTGAGAGCAGCTTCACGGGTTTCTGCAGCCCCTGCCGCGTCTCTGAGCGCAGGGCCTGGCACACAGCAGGAAATCTATAAACTCTTATTTAGCTCTTTATAAATATTTGCATGAGCAAACAGCATGGTGCCAAAGAGAGCCAGATTCTACTTTGTTTGGACACTGTGCAACCTAGGACAGGTTAGAGAACCAACCCTCTGTGCCTTGGTTTCCCCATCTATAAAATGGACACAGATATACTATCTACTTCATAGGACTGTTGTGAGAAAAGAATGCAAACTCTAGAAAATTGCTAGCACAGAATAAATAATGGCTGACAGATTCCTCGGCTGGCTAGGCCTGGACCAGATCTGAATTCCAACTCCTTATTTCTCCAGCTATTATCTCAGATCTTTTAAATCCAAATAGGTACTGTCCTGGGCTAGGCCAAACCTGCTCTGCCTTTTGTGGAGACCAGAGGACAATGGGGCTGTGGGAACCCAGCATCTGGGGTCCAGAGGTGCAGGGTTTGGGTCTAAACTCTGCCTTCTTGGTCCCTCTGGGCCTCGTTGTTACCTTCTGTGGAATGGGCAGAAGGTTTGCTGGGAGGCTTAGAGAAGGGGTGGGAAGGCTGCTCCTTCCCTGCCACCCTTCTGGGTCCCACGTCCCACCATCCTCCACCCTCCACTTCTCACCTTCCTGTGTCCCGTGAAGAAGAGGGAGAGGTGGTGCATGGAGCCGCCATTGCGGCCCAACTCTTTCTTGAGGGTGCGGGGCGAAGGTATGGCCCAGGTGGACGCGGTGCCCTCGCCGTCCGAGCAGTGCAGGGTGGTGTCGGAGGAGAAGCAGGGCCCGCGGGCCTCCTGCAGCAGGCTGCCCTCGCTGTGCGTCCGGCGCCGCAGCGAGTTCTGCACCCGCAGGGAGAGGCCGCCCTCGGCGCCCTGGCCCGTCTCTATCATGCTGCTGCGCTTGGCCTCGCTGTGCCCCCCGTAGTTGTCATCGCTCGTGTCCTCGTCCTCGTCCTCCTCGCCCTCCTCGCCCTCCTCCGCCTCCTCCGCCTCCTCCTCATCTCCAGAGCTGCCTCCCTCGGCCTCTGCCTTCTGGCTGTAGGTTCTGTCCAGCCGGACCTCGGGGATCACAAAGGTGGGTCTGGAGGCGGCTGGGGGGTCCCCAGAGCTAGTGGTCTCCTCGGCGAGGGCCTCGGATGGCGGGGGGGCCTGGTGAGGAGGCAGGTCCCCAGAGGCGGGGAGGTCCTGGGCAGGAGGTTCCGGGATGTCAGCGAGGTCTTTGGCGAGCGGAGGGTCCTGGCTCGGAGTGGGACCTGGAGCAGCAGGAAGGTCCTGGCAGGGCTGGAGGTCTGGGGCGGGTGGGGAGTCCTCGCTCAGCGGGGCTTCTGGGCCGGGAGGGGGCTCTTGGCTGGGAGGTGGATCTTTGCTGCACGGTGATTCCTGGCCAGGAGTGGGCTCCTGCTCTGAAGAGGAGTCCTCGGGTGGGAGATCCTGTCCTGAAGGAAGCTCCTGGGCAGGAGAGGGGTCCTTGCTGGGTGGGGCTTCCTCAGCGCCTGGCCCCTTCCCTTCCTCCAAGGGCATGTCCCTCTTCTCATCTGCCTCCGTCTCAAACATCTGGTAAACAAAAAGCAAACAAGGAAGGTTCAGAAGAGGAGGCAGCATCGCAGGCTGATCCCAAATCAGACAGCCACCCGAACCCTGCACCCTGCCGTTGGAAAGTCCAGGTGCCAGAGGGAAACGCCTATGACTCTCTCGTCTTCTTGCTTGAAACTTCTGCTCCACCCAAAGTATGGCAGGCCACTTGGGGGCAAGAGCCATTTACGTGGCTCCTGCTGTGTGGCAGGTACCAGGGAGCCTAAACTCCCTCCCTTACACGACCCACCCCACCGCCCTGAAAGGGGACCACTGCCGTCCTCATTTGACAGAAAAGGAAACGGGAGACGTTTCCTCTGAGAGTAAAAGTCTCTGCCTTCTTGGACCAGAACCAAACCAAGCCCCTGAGCCAGAGGAGTCGCAGTGGCAGAATCTTGAGTATAGCGAAAGGGTCTCTCTACCAGAACCAAAGTTGAAAAAGAACAACCTGCCTGAGTCACTCCAACAAGATTTTTTTCTGTAAATGTTAAATACATTTTTGAAACCAGGAAACTGGAATAAAACCAGAACTGGAAAACATGGCCCACACCTGGACTGAATAGATGTCACAGACACATCCACCCAATGATTATTAAACTGTGTGGAGGAAACTCAGATCACACACATAGACAGCATTTCCTGCCTGGCACAGCACCCAAGGAACCCTGGAGGGGTTTTGCTGGCCCAACTGTAGACTCCATTTGCAAATGGAAAAATAGTTCCCTTGATGAGAATCTCAAAAGCAGCTCTTGCTACACTCAAGGATGTGGACTGCTAGAGCTAGAACTCTTGAGAGCTCAGGTTTTGTCCTTCAGAAAGCCATAGCCACCTAGAGCAAAGAGGACCCCACACATATCCCTGGAGGCGCGCAGATGAGTGGGAGTGAATGTGTGCGCATGCGCTGGCCAAGAATTTCCGCAGCAGGTACCCCCGGAACATAGGCCCCACCCTCTCACCGTAGAGAGCATGAGTGGCGGCTTGACAGATGAGAAAACTAAGCCCCGGGAATGGTGACTTAGCTACTCTTGCACAGCAGCCCAGAGACCACAAGGCCACGCCCCAGGTGGGAAATTCTGACACCGTGGGGAGTCTGCGCCCAAGCCCCATCTCCACCTCTCAGCTGGGAGCAAGCCACCAGCCCAAGCCACACCCATCAGGGGTCATGCTGGTACCTGGGAGCACCAGAGCGGATGTGAAAGTACAGTGTGGTGAAGACTCATTGTCTGGGGGCATGAAAAGTGAAAGCCCCGCCCCCCCCCCCCAGCTGGGTGGGGTGGCACAGAATGGGAAGCCTCTGAGCACTCTAGGGTGACCTGGTAAGCTGGGGTCAGGAAGGGCACATCTTAGGCTCCATTTCCTGGGTCAAAGACAGATGCCTGCTGACTCCACAGCCTTCCTGCCCTGTGATCCTACCGGCACCTGGGAAGTGACCAACCAGGGACCCCTCAGACTTTACAGGATCAGCCCCTGCAATATCATGATCCCATGCATAGACAGGGAGGCTGAGGCCCAGAGAGGGGTAAGGGCCAACCCATAATCACACAGTAGGACTAGGTAGACCTAGTTACTAATTCTCTGGGCCTCCAGGTCTCCATCTGGAGACCAAAGTGGGTTAACCAATGTAATGCACCCAAGTAACAAACCCGGAGAATATACTCTAGAAAATAGAAGGCTCTTCAATGGGAGGATGATGGCGATGGTTCTTGTGGTGGTTTTAAAAATGCATCTATAGGGAAAAACCTGAACTCGAGGACCATAGCAGAGGCACATCTTCCCCAAGGACCCCTAGAAGCCAACCCCACCTAAGGCCCAGGATGAAAGTTGGCAGTGGTGATGCCAGTCCCCTAGTCCAGAACTTCTGGAAGCTAGGGACTGTGCTTCAGTTCCATGAGGCTGTTCCCAGGTGCAGAGACAGACCCTCCATGGATCTGACAGGAAGACTGAGGACCCAGCTGGACAGTGACTTGGTGACTTGCCCCATGTCAGCCCACACACTCAGGAGCTAAGCTTGGGCTCCATCCTGTCCGAGTCCACTTCTGATCTCAGTCCCAGTCCCCAGCCCATCGCCTTGCCCACCAGGGAGCACCTCTATCAGGAAAAACAAGCTGCTCCCCTGGCACCCCACATTTGCATCACCCTCCCCTGGGGCCAGATCCCCCACCTACCTCCCAGGTCTTACGGGAAAGATGGAAGGACGCAGCAGCCGGGTCCCCTTGGGGCCTGGCACAGACCGACTCTAAGGAGCAGGCCTCATTTCCCTTTCCTGGGAGGCCGGGTGCGGGTGGGGCCCAGGCCTGTCCCCATGGTGCCTGTCCACAGAGCCCGCCCTGTCCCCTCAGGGAAAGTGCAGCAACAGGCCCCAAACCAGATATGCAAGTCCGCCTGCCTCTGCCAATCCTGCCCTAGACTGAGGCCAAACCAAACAAAGCCTGGAGAGGAAGTGTCCCCCAGTAGGGGAGTCCATCCCCAGAGGGCCCTACCCCAAGGGTTTGGCCGAGGAACCACCTGGGACTGAAGGGCTCTCGGTGGTTACGCACTGGATACCCAGTAAGACCTCGACTTGATTCTGACCGGGCCCCTTTCTAGCCCTGCAGCTCTGGACAAGTCTCCTAACCTCTCGGAGCCTCTGTCACCTCACCTAAAACGGAACCCAGGCATGTCACGCCAGACTCCCAGGGCTATGGTCAGCCTCCTCACAGCGCCTGGCCCAGGAAAAGCATGTGACACATGGGTAGTTATAAGTAGTTTCATCTTATTTAGAGATGGGGAAACTGAGGCCCCAGGGATAAAATTACCTAAGAAGTCAGGACCCCCAATCTTGATGCAGGAATAAGACTCTTGTCCCCCATCCCAGGTTTCTTGCATAAAGGGTCTGAGGCCCTGAGGGGGCCAAGAAGCTGGGGAGCGGGCTGTGAGCACTGTCCAGGGGCCTGGCCTGACTCCATCCACAAGGAGACATGGACAAGGCTCATGTGCTCTCTGGGCTTCCAGGTGGGGCTTGTATAATGTGCTGTGCCCGCCACAGGAGGGTTTGGTCAGGCCAGTGTTCCCGGGAGGGCTGGGGTGGGAGTGGCTTGTCAGGGTGCTCTGGGACAGCTCCAGGAGACCTGAGAGCCCCAGGGGTGCCAGGTGGCAAGTGGAAGAGAGAATGAAGGTAAGAGAGGAAGTCAAGTTGAGGGCGAGGTCGCAGAATGAATGGTAGGTGTGGACCGAGCTGTCAGCCACAGAGTGACACTGGCAGAGCTGTCTGCGTCAGACCTGCCCTGGGAAGTGCCAGCAGGATGTGGAGGCAGGTTGTGCGTGTGCTCGTGCCTCCATTCATTCTACAGGACCCCGTAACGGCAGGGAACGAGCCACACACTCGCTGCTCTCAGCGAAGCAAAATGACAAGAGGTTAGACATCAGAGTGTGTGTGGCGGGGAGGCTTTAATGGATGAGTTGCAGATAGATGTCGCAACAGGCTGGGGTGACAAGATCCAGCCCAGGGCACCCTTGGAAACCAGCCTGTGCCCCCAGCGCCTTAGGTGCACAGTGCTGGAGGCTGCTGCCCAGCCCTCCGAGGGGGCCTGTATCTCTCCATCCATCACTTCTTTGGCTCGGCTGGACCAGGGGCGATTCTGCCCTTGTCTCGCCTGCTGGCAGCGTACAGGAAATGAACCAGGGCCTCTAAATGATCTAATCAAATCCTCTCCCCAAATCCAATCCAGAACTCGAGCAGGCTGGGGAAGTGGCAGCTCACACCAGCCGTGGCTCCTGTGCCCCAGACCCCCCGCTGCTGGGTCTGGGGATTAGTAATGGGCTGCTGGAAGTGACTTGCCCAATGTCACACAGGAGCCAGGATTGCTGACCCCAGAGGCGACCTGGTGGCTTTCCCTGGGATGACTCATCACATCCACCCAGAGGCTCTGGGTCTGCCCAGGAAACCACTTTCTGCTACAGGAGGGGAAGCACACTGGGGGCTGCCTCTGTGTCAGGGTGGCCCCTTCGCAGGCGAGAGTTTACAGAAAGCACTGGACTTCAAGCCAAAGGACCGGAGCGGCCTCCTCTCCATCATCTGCTGGCTTTGGGATCTCCACCGCCTGGTTCTCTGCCATGGAGAGGGGAGGGGGAACCTCCTGCCCCTGCTCCAGAGAGAGACAAGCCAGGAAAGGGCTGCGGGCCGGAAGGTGGCCTGGGAGAGGGAGAGGCCTGGGAATCCCTGCCCAGCTGTGGGCCTCCGGGCTCAGCTTCCAAGATGGGATGGTCCTTCAAGTTTGGAGCACTCCAGGTCCCCAGCTTCTGGGTCCCTGGCTCTACCATGACATCTGCAAACCTCAGCTTCTTGGCCAACACTGGGCTCCCTTCTCCCAGCCTCAGTCAACTCCTCCAGCGCTGGCTTCTCGACACCCTGAGTGGAGCCTCCAGTGCAGCCTCTGCTGCCAGCTCAGGGACCCTCCAAGGCCATTCTGAATCTTTCCAGGACAGAGGCAGTGTCTGATAGTGACTGAGCTCCACTTTGCGTTTCCTGGTGGGGGACCCTTGAACTTAACCTCTGTGCCTCAGTTTCCATAGCCATACGAGGGATTTGTAACACCTCCCCACGGTGCTGTCAGAGGAACAAACGAGTAATGTTCATCCAGAGCTTGGCACTGCGCGGCCACGCAGGCATTCAACAAGGGCAGCCATGACCACCCCAGCACAGCGTGGCTCGGCCCTCTGCTGCCCTGGATTTCCCCTGACCCATCCCCTGGGCACTTCTCCACTCCATCACGGGCTGCTCTGCCTGTCCACCAGCCTGCTCTGGACCCTTCTCCCAGGCCCTGGACTCTCCCTCATGTACCCATCCACTCCTGGGCTACAATCAACCTCCGCACCACTGGGCCACCGACGCCTCCTGGTCTACACAGCCGGCCAGCTCCAAACCCACTCCTGAGGGCAGTTCCCACAGTCAAGCCTTTGCTCAATCCTCACCAAAGACTCTGCAGCCGGACACTGTTCCAGGC